GGGGGGGGTGCTTAGACCATGAAATGCATCCCAAGGTCCCGAGACCCACCAAACAAGCCATCCTTCTGTTTAACGGTGACCTCTGCACCCGAATGCAGAGAGACTCAGAAACTCTAGAACCTTCTGTCCTCTAGTTGCTAGTGTAATAGTAACAGAGGGGCCGGGATAAACCCTTGCCTACAGGAGGGAGGCTGTTCCACATAGATTACAAGGAGGTACACAACACAGGCGGGTTATCGACAGCAGCAGCAGGCAGGAAGGTTTCTGCATAAACCTCGGCCTTCTCCTTGGAGGCAATATCTTATCCTGAGTCCCCAGCTCCCTGGAGGGCCCAGCTGCTTGTCTGTTTGAGCAGATGTTTGTGTGCTCGAATCCTTGTGTGAGGCAGTTGCTTGCCAGCACTTCCTCCTAAGTCCAGGGCTAAGTATCAACAGCACCTGAAACCCACCACGGCTTCTTGAGCACATCTGATCTATTTAGTGTCTTCCCAGGCCTGCCTTCTTGTCAGTAGGCATCTGGACCTACAGACAGCAATTTGTTCTTAGGTGTCAGGCATGGTGTAGGGAATGCTGCTGCTGGCTATGGGCTGCCTGCAACTCTAGGACTGCCAGCAGACAAAGAGGATTGCCGGCAGACAGTAGATGGTGCCCAGCCTCCTTCCCTGCAGGGGTCTCTACATTCCAGACTGGGACCCTATTGTCTGGCATCCAACTTGGAACACAGGTTTATAAGGCTGGTGTTCTCAGCGGTACAATGTGGGAGGAAGGAAAAAGAATCGCGTTTATTTCACGTCCACCCACAATGCTAACATCCAAAAATTACAGCTCCCAGATCAAAATAAAGAGCCGAACTACTTTGGTGACAGATACCTTTCAGTGATCACCGTCCTTTCTCACATAGGCTCAGCACCTGTAGCAAGGACGCCTTTGGTCTCCTGTCTGTTACAAGGGCACTGCCCCCATGTAACTCAGTGTTGTTCCAAAGTGCCACAGTGCTTCCTACAGCATCACACGCACACACACACACACACACACACACACACACACACACGCACACGAGAGCAACCTGTAGCCAGATGAAATGATCCCAGAATTGCTAAACACACACACACACACACACACAGGAACAACAATATGTAGCCAGATGAAATATTACAGAATTGCTAAACACACACACACACACACACACACACACGAACAACATGTAGCCAGATGAACTATCATAGAATTGCTACAAACACACACACACACTGCATTTATCAGCACAAGCTTTACTGTCTGATGTGAACTCTGCTCTGTTCTCTTCTATTCACCATCCTCTCCCCTCACCCCAAACTGGCCATGAACATTAACCGTGATGACAACATAGAACTGATATACAAATAGCATGTCACACACTCAAAAAAAAAAAAAAAAGGCTTTTAGACTTACCTGCGGGGGTCATGAACTTCCACAGAAAACTTCTTTTCCCTGAAATACAGATTCTCCAACTGTCTCCATTGGAATATCTGGACGGAAAACAACGGAGTTTAAATTCAGAAGTAGTGAGTTCCCTGGTCTCCGGTCCCTTCTTCGCTGATTAACTTTTTCAACAGCTGAGAGTTTCCTTATCAAAGCAGAGACCTCCTCCGGGTAGCCTGCCTACTACTAGTCCTACACACACACACACACACACACACACACACACACACACACACCGGTGGGTGTGGATTTTTCCTGCAGGTTCCTTAACAGGAACAAAACAAGTTCTTTTTCAAGTTTGTTCCCCTTTGGCTCGTGCCTTTGTTGAATTCTCCAAGACAGTTCCCAGCTCGCAGACTTTTCCCTCCAAGGAGAGAGAGAGAGAGAGAGAGGAGGGGTGGGGGCGGGGAGATGAGAGGAGGGAGGAGAGGACCGGAGCCGGGGAACACGGCGCTCAGGAGGGAGCGGTAGCCATCTGCGCACGCTGAGGGCTGAGCCGCGCTTCCTCCCCTCGAGTGCTGAAATGGGAAGGCGTTCAAATTCCCAGCCTCCCTTCGGGACTCCACTTCCTGCCGCTAATGTGCAAGAGCCTCAGACATCCTCACTCGCTGGAGGGCGGAGGCTGTTGCGACCATAGTTGGGGGCAGGCGACTCAGGATCACAGTGTGTGTTTGTCATGCTGCATTTCCCCCCTCAGCACAAAGCGGGGGAGGGGTGCGGGGGGTGCGGGGGCGACGGACAAGAGTTCTGCCGCTATAGGGATACTGCAGTCTTGCCTTGCCTGCAAGAGAAGGTCCATGGAACTCCAGGAGTGAAAAGAGCTGATGTTGAGGTTGGGAGGCAATCAGGGCGCTTTGGATTGCTCTAGGAGTGGGGTGCCTTTTTTCTGGATGAAAAGTGAAAGTTACTCAGCCGTCTAGGGAATGTCACCAGAGGCTAAAGCTTTGTGCACGCGGGTTTGCATTCATTATGTTCACGGAGCTTCCGTTTCCTTCTATATACTTAGCAGTGAGTTTGTTTTGATCAAGAATAAACCAGGGTAGCCTGATCTTGTCTTTCCCGGAGAGAATGGCTGGTTCTTCCCGGCCGGCCTGTTGGTCTCCTCCATATGGGGACATAGCATTTCGGGTTTAGTTCCACAGAGTCCCCAGCTCATTACAGCCGTCCACCTTTCAGATAGGAAGGTCATTTCCCTGTGTTCCATAAGCCCTGTTTTCCCCAAGCCCAGAACGCAGTTAGTCAATACTTGGCCAGTGAATTTACCACCCAAGTCAAACTGAGCTGCAGTTAAAACCGGTTTCTAGAGTGGCTGCATTCTCTCATCTCACACTCTCTTCGGCGGGGCAGAGTTCTAAAATGATTTTGTCGGCGGGGCAGAGTTCTAAAATGATTTTGTCTGCATGGGTAACCAGTGGGGCGAGGGGCGACTATTGGCTCTTACCAAGGAGCCACCTCTTCACCCACAGGGCATCTGACTCTGAAGCCACAGACCGGAGATTTTTCTGTCTCCTGGAATCAGTTTCAAGTAGGTGGACAGACATTGCAAGGAAAGCAAATGATCCAAAGTCCTGCCCTGGCTCAGATGCTCTGTGTCCATCCCGCCTTAGTCACTTAAATACGCAGAGCTTGGTCACAGGCAGTGGGTGGTCTGCCTCCATGAATCCCTCAGTGTAGACCCTTCCAGTCTCTGATACCCACTGGTTGGGTACAGACATCTCACCTATTGATAACTTCCTTACAGCCATAGAAACACTAGAGGTGCTCACTCTGGCCTTACACATAACCTGCCAAACTTGCTGGGCGGCAGTGGCACACACCTTTAATCTCAGCACTTGGGAGGCAGAGGCAGGGGGTTCTCAATGAGTTCAAGATCAACCTGGTCTACCAAGCGAGTTCCAGGACAGCCAGGACTGTTACACAGAGAAACCCTGTCTAAAAAACCAAACCAAAACAAACAATAAAACTAGACTCTAACCTGCCGTACTATAGAGTGTCATGCACGGCTTTAGAGTCTGAAGCCTCTGTTTAAATCCGAATCTCCCACTTTCCAACTCACTGGCCTTTAACTTGTAGCAATTGTCTTAGCATCAGTTTCCCCATTTGTAAAATGTTAAGTATGGCTCCTGTAAGATGGATCTTAACAGCAGCAGATCCTGAACTTGGCAGTGGAATAAATAAGTAGGCAACAAACATGGAGCTCACTGTGTTTTCCTTGTGTTCTTTGTGCTGCCAGATTCTACCAAACAAGAGGGAGTAACTGCAGAGCCACCAGAATTCTTTCCTTAAATTTCTCATCTTGACTTGGAGCTTAAAAAATTAAATTAGATTATGTGTGTGCTGGAAATCTTATAATAAGTATAAAGGTCTCTCTTTCTCCCTCTTCCTCTCCTCCCCCTTCCCTCTAAAGATGTCCTTCTCAGACCCTGCCCTGTATCCACCCTAACCAAGCACAGTGGATCCTTGCACAGCACTGACTTCCTGGATGCGTGACTTAAGAGGCTCATGCACCTGCTGTTGCCATCGTGAAATTCCCAATGTGTTTTCATCGATTTGCATGGACCCTACCAGTGATATAGTTGGTTCTTGTCTCAGCAGCATGGAGTGGGGGTGGGAGTTGGGAGTCACATCTGCCTTGGATGTACAGGCCACAGAAGGTAGACCCCTCCCCAGGAGGAAAAGAAGCCACACCTGGCGTGAACGCTCGGAAGTAAACCCCACTTGTGCCTTCTTTTGGAAGTGCCTTCAGGCCTGATAAAGAATCCTAGAGCACAATGCTCGGAGGGTCGGTTTCCTGGCAACTTCTTCTTCCCCAGCTCCTTGCAAAAATATAAAACCCACACCATGCCTTTCCTCTAAGTGGTCCCTGATGCTGAGCAGTGTGGAGATCTGTGTGGCTGCCAAAGGGCCCAAACAAAACCATCTGGGCTTACAGCCGCCCCTCATCTTAGCCAGGGTGGCTGCCCAGGGAAAGGGGAAGGGCTTCTGCCTTGCTGCTGCTCTAGAGGGTAAACCTGGAGTCCTGATTCCCAAGGTGTGCCCCTGGGGTGATGTATTTTCTGTAAAAATTTTTGTAGCAGGGGCAGAACAGTGAATTCCCTGATAGCTGTTTTAGCTCAACTTTATTTTGGCTTTTATTTTGCAAATTAAATACTGGGAAGGAAAAGTGGGAGTAGAAAAAAAAAATGATTGGATATTTTTTTTCCCCCTAGATCTGATAGCTGCTTGGGGCCATAAGAAGAATCCCAAAGGAATGGATGAGGGCCTGCAGCTACACTGGCTGCTGCTCTTTCTCCTCACATGAGAGAGGGTGGAGCTAGGGAGCCAGCAAGCTGCTGGTGGTTGCAGTGGGGGGAGTTGGAAGGCTATAGGGGTGGGGAGGGCAGGGACAGCTGTTGCTGGCAGCAGGGCTGGATGTCATTTAAGCTGAAGGCACTATGCTCTTCCTGGGGGTCTAGGGCATTTCTGCTCATGTGCTGCTGCACCCCACTTAGAGCCCCTGGCTGCTCAACACTCAGCTCTCAGGCTGGCAGAGAGACCTATCAGGAAATAAGCAAAGGAAAGATGTCTGGGTTCATGTTCCCCTGTAAATGGGAGGGATGAGCTATTACTGTCCTTGGGGCCACTCCAGAGGAGCCTCCATGACCTGGTTCTCAGGGATCCAAACTATCCCTGCAAGGTCATCAGTGTGATTTGAGACTCCACACAAAGACTCACCTGACAGTTGACAATTGTGGCAAACACTGGGCTGGCTATGGACTCCAACTACTTCCTATGGTCATCATATGCCAAAGGAGCTAATTATAAGCATAACTTTGCAGTTCTATCAATAGTCAGGGGTCCTACTGATTGATACCTGCTAAGTCAAGGGACTCCAGCTAGGCCTCTCCACAGAGTTCCACACAGTTTCTGTGCTCATTTAGCAGCCCCTCCCCCAAGGGAAAAAATGGAAGTTTTTTTTTGGAGGGTGGAGGAGAAGAAACAAGACCCACAGAAATGAGGGGAAACTGCCTAGGGCCACACAACAAGTTTCTGAAGGAACCAGAAATAGAAGTCAAGGGCACCTGGTTCATTACTCCCACCACTAACTATGCAGCTTTTCCCAGGAGTCCACCAATTAGTGCCCACAGCTCTCGCTCACTAATGGGTGGTTAACTTTACAAGTGGAGCGCTTTCTCCCAAATGAGCAACAGCGGGGCTGTGAGAGGGGCAGCATCAGCCCAAGGGTTTCTCTCCCCTGCACGATGGCTTTGCTTTTCTTTCACACTGCAAATTACACTACGTGTTCCTTTTTTCTTCTTGGAAACCTAGCTTCGTCCAGGCTTCTCCAAAGCAACTGCCTCAATAATCAGCAGTTTTCGTCAAAGACCAAGAGACAACAATGGCTATGATTAAGAACAGCCCGATGACTGGGTTTGCATGGGAAATAGAAGCTTAAGAGGACTGGCATGGTGGCTCTTGCTTGTGAGCCCATCTCTCAGAAGGCTGAGGCAGGAGGTGTTTTATATATAAACATATAGAGGTATATATAATATATATTATATATATATAATAGTAAGAATCATAGTAATAGTAACGAGTTAAGAGACCACCCCCCTCAAAAAAAATTTAGAGAAACCATCAGGAAGGTATGGTATTTGTCACCATCCACTGAACCCCAATAGTCCTAGATATGAGTTCTCAGTCTTTGACTTAGCCTTCCTATGGTCATAGGTCTGCTACTTTCCCATTCTGGACCCGAGCATCCTCATGTATAAAACCGAGATGGGAATCATTTATCCACAGGGACCAAACAAAAGTGGCGAATAACTATTGTGTTTGAGCCCTGAATGTGACAGGGTATTCTGTAAATCCTTAATTCTGTTACAGTCCACTAGACCCATATCCTGTGCGTGGCTGAGGCTGTGGCAGAGGAAGGGAGCCCGGCTCCACTTCCTCTCCAGCCAGCATTTATGAAGCACTGTGGGATAGCCAAATAGAGTAACAAGCAGGCTGTCAAGATGGTGTAGGAATAAAGACTTGAGAGGAAGCTAGGCTTAGTGGCTCTGAT